TGGGAACACACGGGGAACCTGACGCCCATACTGTGTGTGCCTACGGTTCTAGGCCATTCTATCACATCCAGATTCATGTGACCTCAGCAATCAGGAATCGATATCATAGGGGTGCCTGGCTGACCCAGTCACTGGAGCTTGCGACTGTTGATCTTGGGGTAGGGAGTTCGAGCCCAGGCTGGGTGTAGAGATTAGTAAAAGAATAAATAAATCTTTAAAAAAAAAAAAAAAGAGCGTTGTCATAATAATTGAAGACTGAACGCCCTGCTGGGCACACTGCGAGCTCTCCATCTCTCTCCGTGGGCTTAGATACGAGTTAGTGTCTACACCCACACACTCGAGAGCGAGAGGAGGCATGATGAAGTGTGGTGGGGCAGCATTTCACAGGGGACTGTCCTGGGCACAGCCCGACGTACGGTGATCCTGATATTTCCTCATGTAACCCCTGAACCTTTCAACAGATACTAGATGTGCCCAGGGTCACATGACTCGGGGCTGGGGGGGGGGGCGCCGAGCTGGTACCAGGCCATCTGGCGGCGGGTCCAGACCACCACTGCAGAAAGGAAGCACAAGTACCCACGGTCACCTCTTCTCTGCTTAGGCACGGAAACCGGGTCCTGACGAGAGAAGGGATAGCTCATCCGTGTGCTGGCCGCCCTGGGCTGGGGCTGTGGTGCCCGAGCCCGCACCCTGGGCGTGGTGGGCGAGGCCTGCAGGGTGGTCGCTGTGGGCCGGGGAGCAGCGCTGAGGGGCTCGGCTACTGAGAATTCAGTTCTGTCTGGGGGCGGGGAGCCTGGGGGAGGCGGAGCGGGCGGCCCCGGAGGTCACCCTGGTAGTGAGCAGGGCAGGCAGCGGGCAGAGCAGCCTCCGGGGGTTGAGGGGCAGCAGGGGTGCGGTGGGAAGGAAAGGGTGAGAGGCTGCTGGGACCACCTGGGTCCAGGCCTTGGTTGAAAGCAACAGATCAGAAGCAGCTAACCTTGAAAACGCAGAAACCCGAGACACAGGTGCAGGGATGCAAACACAGGGCCCACCTCAGCCCTTCCTGGGCCTGAGTCCTGCGGGGTCTGGAGCAGGGAGGGCCCCAGACACCACCCCCTCCGGCGCCATCGGCCTGGGCCTGGCCCGCTGCGCCTGGACCCCGCAGGGCAGGGGCCTCCCTGAGCCCCTCCTACGCGCCTGACGCTTCTGGTGTGTGGCTGCCTTCTTTTAAAATTCACTTGTTTGTTAATTTACATCCAAGTTGGTTAGCATCTAGTGCAATAATGATTTCAGGAGTCGAATCCAGTGATTCATCCCCTACGTCTACCAGCCAGCGCCCACCCCAGCGTCCTAAGGCCCCTGGCCACTTAGCCCATCCCCCACCCACAGCGCCTCCAGCAGCCCTCAGTCTGTTCTCTGTATTTAAGTCTCTTATGTTTTGTCCCCCTCCCTGTTTTTATATTATTTTTGCTTCCCTTCCCTTGTGTTCATCTGTTTTGTATCTTAAATTCCACATGAGTGAAGTCACATGCTGTCTTTCTCTAATTGAACAAATATGTTTTTTGATTACTGCTTCAACTAGCAGAGTATATAAGCTATTCCTTTAATCACACTTAAAATTGTATTTTAATAAAGCCTGGAATTCTCACACAAAAAAGTAAATGCCCGTTATTTTAATTATTTTTTAATTGCAGAAGTTTACATTGTACTACCGATTCACTGATTCTGCCGACAGAAAAAAGTCTTTTAAAAACTACAAAAGATGTTTACCTACGCGGGAAACATGAATTCCCCCCAATCTGACCAAATACTAACCAATTATAAATGCAATCAAAAAGGTCCTAAGTCATAAATGTACTATTATTTTTAAAGCCCTTGAGTCCATCTCAAATTGGTAATTTTAGGAATAGCTTTAAAAACAAAAACTGATCAAAAGTGAAAAAACCTACGTAGAAATGACAGAACAGTGTGTGGGTTCACGTGGAGACTGTAAAAAGCGGAAGCAAACTCACGTGCAAGGCTAACAGGTGTACAAGAGGGGAAGAAAGAGTATCCACACTCCTACTAAGTGCTCTAAGGGAATTCAGCTTCTGATCACATTTCAAGTACTGAAGAACGCAGACTCAGCCTTCCCGCACCGATGTACCCCCTTCTCCGCTAAGCGTTGCGAAGTTAAGCCTTCCCAGTGATGTACCCCCTTCTCCGCTAAGTGCCGCAAAGTTAAGCGGTCAAGCCAGCTGTGCAGCGGAAAGGGAAAACAAACAGCTCTCTGAGGGTTAGACAGCACAGAATGAATTCTCCACTTCCCTGGCGGTTACCCGCAGGTCATCAATAATGGAGACTTGTGTACGAACAGCCCCAGGGGACAAATGAAGCGCCAGCTGCCTGTGGAAATGGTGGATGGCAGACCAGGTCAGGGACTGAACTCTACTTGGGCAGAAGAATCGCAAACACACCAGGTGGTGACACAGAGCATTTTGGCGCTTTCTCCTTTACCAGAAGCATGGAAGGGTTGGCAGACACAGTCAACTGATGGAACAAAGACTGTGAGAGATCACTGTCACTGCCAATCACAGTCTGTTCTGAGATTATCTGTAAAGTATTTAATATTATCTGAGAGTATCTGAAATATCTGTAAGAATATGGTTTTTAAAAACCCACAAAGTCTAAAAATGCAAATAATGACATTAGAATTAAGACTGATAGTGAGGGGCGCCTGGGTGGCTCAGTCAGCTCAGGTCATGATCTCACTGCTTCTGAGTTCGAGCCCTGCGTCCGGCTCTGTGCTGACAGCTCGGAGCCTGGAGCTGCTTCGGATTCTGTGTCTCTCTCTCTGCCCCTCTTCTGCACACACTTTTGTGTGTCTCGCTCTCTCTCTTTCTCTCAAAAATAAACACTAAAAAAAAAAAAAAAAGACTGATAATGAAATTCAGTATGTTTCCAACTGTTCTAGACACTTTACTATAAACTAGATGGATGGAACTTAAACGTTATTTTCTTCTGACAACACTGTTACAGAAAAGGTAAGATTCTAGGCTAATTCATTAATGCATATAGTTCATGTCCTGGAAACAATACAACTTTGCAATTTTAGTGGAATGCACTCCTAAAGAAGTTAAGACCTATAAGAAACAGTAACATAAAATATAATGCTTTATTATGAAGTGTACCATTTGAGGGGGAAAAATCTTAATTAGAAGAATCAGAAAAACTAAAACTTTTGGTCTGAATTTAAGAAGCACATAGAAGGGCCCCAAGCATTCTTGAGGTGATGAAACAAGAGTCAGAAAGATTTTAGAATCTGAGTAATAACTGAGTTCTAAATTAGTGAGCAACAGAGAAAGAGAAAAAGATTCCCATGAGATGAGTAACAGGGGAGGGGGATTCTAGAACAGCGTTAGGGCCGGACAGCTTCTGAACCAATCACTGGGTGATACTGTTAACCCACGACACTGGGGTTTGGAGAGCCTGTCCCTGAGAGCCCAAGGGGCCAAAGGCCCTCTGGAGAAGGCATGGGGTGTGGGGTGCGCGTGCCTGGGTCGGGACACACAGAAGCCAGAAAGCGGGCTCACATCCATCATGTCCACGCGGCCACCAGTGGAAGGCAGTGTGGTGCAGCAGGAAGAGACCTGCTTCCCGGCTGGGTCCGCTAATAGCCAGGTGGCCTTTGCCAACTCACTTAGCTTCTCTGAATATACATTTCTTCGTATGAAAACAGGAAGACGGAACATGTCATGGAAAAACTGCTGGGATCAAATGCAATACGCAGTGTGTTCATGCAGCCACGTGCAGAAGACAGAATTTAAAGTGTTTTAACATCCACCAGAGCGGGGTAAGTGACAAGCACAACTGCGAGATCGGCTGGACTTGGCTTAAACAACGGCTGAGCCTCGCCGGAGAATACCCGAGGCTGCGCACACAGGAAAGAGCTAGGGCGATGCCTTAGTCCTCCGTCAGAACCCGGGCCAGGCGGCAGCTCCTTCGGGACGCCTTCCCTGGAGCGCTCTCTACTCCCGGCTACCGACCCTTCCACACCCGGCGGTTTGCACACATTCACGTGGCGACGCGCACTCCTGCAGAATTACTCCGTCTCTGTACACACACCGGGGGCGCCCGCTGCCCGGGACCCCGCCGCTGGATCGTGCACTCTGCAGCAGGCCGTGCCGGCACTCAGGAAGTCCGCTCACCGCCACTGACGGCACGGTCTGTAGGTTTTCGGTAGGATGGTCACGAGACGACATTACACGCACGACGGCAAGTCATCGTTTCACTCGACTAAACTGCAACTTCTTAGTAAAAGGCCAGGGGTGCATCTAAGTATGGACACAAGTCAGTATGAGCCCGTGCCGAGGAAACCGGCCCCCGATCAACGGGAATCAAACCCCAAAACTTGAAATCTTGTGTCTTAAGGCTTAATGTGACCTGGTGCACCTCTGTCAAGCCGCCGGATCCAGGATTTGTTCTTGGTCAGGATGCCCCGGGGAGTAGCCCGAGCAACGCATTTTGCAGAAAGCAAACGCTAACCAAAAAGAAAAAAGAAAAAAAAGAAAACAGAACAACCCCCCAAAAACCCAACAGCAAAGTCGACTTCAATTGCTTGGGGTGCGCTCGCGCCGTCTATGAGACACCCCAAACTTGCTGCCGTGCAACCCGCAGGTCTACACCTGCCGGGGGCGGGCAGCGGCCGGGGGCTCGCCGGGCCCCGCGGCCTCGCGGCTGGGGGCGCCCGGGGTCGCGCGGGCGTGGGGGGCGCGGGCCGCGAGGGGCGAGCTCCGAGCAGCGGTCGGCGCGCGCTCCTGCGCACACCGCCGACAAGGCTCGGAGGCGCGCTCCGCGCCCAGCGCCGCGCGGTCGGCAACCCGCGCGCCCGCTCCCGCGCCGGGGCCGCGGGGCCGCGGGGCCGCGGGGCCGCGGGGCGGGGGCCGCTCCCCCCCCGGGAGGCGGTTCGGGGTCCCGGGCGCGCGCGAGGCCCCGCCGGCCGCCCCCCGCGCCCCTCCCCGGCGGCCGCGCACCGCACTTACTTAGACCTGCTCGCAGGCTGCGCAGTGGGCCGCGGACACGGAACCCGGCGCCGCGCGGCAGCGTCCCCCCGCGCCGCTTCCGTCGCTCCTCATCGTCCTCCAGCCGAGGGGCCGCCGCCGTCGCCACGGTCTAGCCCGGAGCTGTCGCGGCGCCGCTCTCGGCTCCTCCACTTCCGGCCCACGCTCGGTGTCGCCGGCAAATGTCCCCGCCGGCTCCCACATCACCTGCTCCCCTCTCCGCCTTCCTCCTCCTAGTGGGAACCCGGCCCGCCCTCCCGGGCATGCGCACAAACGGCAGTCGGGGGGGGGGGAGGGGGGAAGTCCCCGGCGACGGTGGCCGGCACGGACAAGATACGTGGGAGCCTGGCCGCCGGCGCGCTGTGGGCCGCCCTACCCGGCGGCTTCTGGGCCTGGGGCCCCTGGAGGCCTCCAGCCCCTCATCGGAGGCCCCCAGCGTGAGTGTTGGTAACGCACCAGATCCCCCTTGGGGACCCAGTTCTAACCGCGTACACACAGCAGTATTCATTACATAAGAAAGTGTGTCTGCCTCGTAGGCTTAGGAGGGGCGTTCCAGTGTGTTCCGGTAGTTAACTTAAAACGCGTCCGTAACTCCCCGTTTCTGTTTTCTCCCATCCCAGCCCTCTCCTACCTCTATCGGAGTGGACCGGCACGGGCAGATGCAGGGCTTGTGACGCCCGAACCTGGGGAGATTTAGAGGGCCTTTTAAAGAAAAAGAATGCAAAATGGTCTTACTTTTGCACATTGTCCAAAAGCACAAGACCAGGGGAACGTGGCTAGAGCCCGGGGCCTGGGACGTGGCCACACAAAGAGCCCTTGAAGCCAGTGCTTCATTACCTTCCCTGCCCCTGGGCACCAAGTTGTACTAAATTGTTTATCTCCAGATGTCTGACCCCCCTCCCTCGGTCATTCCCTATTCTCTGTAACCTATTTTATATATACAAAGAATCTTTCATGTTTAAAAACAAGACAAAACAAAAAAAACCCTTTATCCTGCCATCAGATGGAGAGGTCCCGGTCAAAGCCAGGCTCTCGATAATAGCTTCACGCTGTTTGTCACCTAACATATGGCAGGCACTAAGGTAGACTACTTACATAAATAAACTGATAATCACAGCAACTCTAGAAGGTACTTAATGAAAAACTCTTAATGATCTTTGAATCAGGCATAGAAAGGCTAACATATCATGGACTAGGATTTGAATCAGTTTGGAGTTTGGTTTCACAATCCGTGGCTCCTCTCTTACATCAGTAATACAAAGTGCAAACTCTGACATTGTGGGAGCTCAGTAGATGCTGCACAAGGTCCAAATTGTGCACAAATGGCCTTTGATAAGATGGACACTTGTGGGGGTCTGTTTCCAACCCTGTTGGGTGCTACTCCAAAATATAGTGATAATTCAGTTGAAGAGTAGGTACAGGAATTATCATCAAGAGTATCATGTGACTTTTAAACTTCATAGCTGATTTCAGAGAAATATTTGGATAACTTAGGTGCATTAGACCCGCAAGGAAATTAATTCAATGTTGTTGGGCTAAGTGTAGCTCTGCTACAAACTAATACTGTGAATTAAATAAGCGTCAGTTTTGTAAAATGAGATTCTTGAACTTTAGACAACCGCTAAGGGCATTTAACAACTATAAAATGTTCTCAGAGTCCGTTGCAGCAAAATATCACTTTCTTAAAATATCACATCTTATAGCAACAGTATTTTATGGCAAGAGGAAATAACTCTCAAAGTTGCCCCCCCCCCCCCCGTCATGGGTAATTTCTTGATTCCCCATGAAAGAAGACAAACCAAAACAAAACCTTAGTAGAAATCAACAGTTCCTTGAACGTAAGGACTTTGTTTTCATCTTAACCTTGAATGCCTCGCACAATTACTATATTATGGTTGGTGCTCAGTAAACGTTTGCCAAATAGTTTTATTTTGAATCCTTGGACAGACACTAGAAGAATCCATACTTGATTTCTAGGCATGCAACTCTTTCCGTCTATATTATGAATTATAGATTATGTATTTTTATGAATTATGTATTATTTCTGTATTAAGAGACAAGAACTCATCAAAGTTGTACCGTCGTGAGAAACGAATGGGAAAGGACAGCCTTCAGCAATTTTGCAAAAGCCTATTTTTCCACCTGAATGAAACGTCAGATGTTTGGGGAGGCAAGATGCCCTTTTCAATTATGGGCACTTTCACAACCAACCAAGGAGATGAGTATTGGTACCCCCATTTACATACAGGGAGCAGAATCCTACGAAGCTGTCACTTGCTAGTGAGCAGGCCAAGGACAGGGAAGACTCGGGCTCACATTCCAGGTAAGGAGCCAGGACACAAAAGACCCCAGAGCTGTCTGGGGTCTCGCTCAGAGTCGAAACCCTCTCTCCTGGGTGGAGCGCTGGCGAAGAGCACCTGGGCTTTGGGAGGCTAACTGGAGTTGTATTCGTGGTCACGCTGTCACCAGGCTCCCGGGAGTCCTCGTGAGCCCGCAAGGCGGACCGGTGCCCAGCCCGAGCGTCACTGCGCGTGCGCACATCATCCCTGCGCCCCTCAGGGCCTGCGGACGCGACTGCGCCTGCGCACAGCTTCGGGATGACGTCAGGGTCTCCCGGGGCCGTAAGCGCGATGGCGTCTGCGCCGGCAGCAGCTGGTGGAACGGGCTCCGGCGGCCGCGGCTTCCGGTGTGGAGAACGCACCTGGGGCCTCGCGTCCGGCGGGATGTTTGTGCGGCTGCGCGGCCTGGGAGGGGCGTCGGAGCCCCGGGAGCGAGCGGGGGTGGGGGACGTTTAGCCGACGGAGGCTGGGCGCGAGTGACCCGGCCGAGGGCACCATCGCGCGTCTTCTCCGTCCACCAATTGCTCGTGGTCGTTAATGTGTTTTTTCTTGTTTCGGGACAGAAGGTCTTTCGGCCCATCCGCCCCCGCCCGGAGCCACAGGTGAGGGTCGCGGGCCGCCCTGGCGACGGCGTGCGGTGGAAGCCGGGTCCTTGGTTCGGGCTTCTGGGTCTGGACCCGCACCCTTGGGACGCGGGAGGCGAGGGGCCTGCCTCCGGGAACCTGGCTGTGGTTGCGGACTGTCCGATTCTGGGGACCCCCGCCCCCCAGCCGGTGTGGATTTACCCCGAATTCGTTGCGAGTTTTGTTTTTTTGGGATTTTTTTTTGCGGGGCTGCAGGCGGGTGCCGGTGCAGTTGCAGGGAGATACCGTATCCTTGGAGCGAACGCCCGGTTTCTCTTCTCACATTTCGTCTTCTGTCAGCCTCTTGGCTCCTGCAGCCTTCTGGCTTTTTCCCTCACAAAGTTCTTTCTGCTTAGAGTCTCCCCAGGTAACCCAGGTGCTGGGAAGGCTGCTGTAAACCCGTGGTCTCACTGGGAAGCGCGTCTTCTTCTCAGGGGCCGCAGGAAGGAAACTTAAATGGTACCAGTCACTTTCTCTGCAATCAAGTAGCCCTGAATCATCACCTCCCCTGAATGCCACCTTGCAGGTATGTTTCCCTGTGTCGCTTTAGGATGATGGGCAGCAGCTGAATGGACCACGGGTCATTATTGTAATACTAACTGTATTCATTCTCTTGAAAGTTGCTGGTTCTTTAACAAGTGAAGCGTACCCCTCCCTTATTTCCTTAATATTTTGTAATATTTATATTTAAAATGTCACTTGCATCAACAGGTAGTATTGCACTAGCATTGATCAAGGATTTACCAGCTACCGACGACTGTGTTAAGCACCTTATGTAAATTATCTGATTTCATCCGCATGCTACCTTCTACAGTTATTAACCCCATTCTTCACTTTAGGACACTGACTCTCAGAGAAATTAAGTGGTTGCCCCATGTTCACACAGCTATTGAGTTTTGAGTCTAGAATAGAACTGAACTAGGGTTCAGTTCGAGCCTGAACCCTAGCCCCAAACCACAAGTCAGAAACACCAACTAACAACCCCAGAATCCAGAAGATAAAATTAGGGAACATATAAAAGCAGGGGTACAATTTTAATAAGTATAAATATTTCAACTTGTTCATTTGTTGCTAATTTGAATCCGTGTCATAGTTAGAGCAGTTTTTGGCCTACTTGTGTGTCCACACCGTTACCTAGATTTCAGTTGTTATAATTTGAGTCTTTGCCTGGAACTTGTTGAGGGAAGCTGAGACCAAGTAGAATATTGACAGATCAGAAACTGTACTCTCATCTTGTACATTCAAAGAACTACTTCTCAACATTCTTCATTTTATGCATCGTGTATGGATTGTAAATATAACATAATTACCGGAAAGTACTGGCTTGAGGGAGCATGTTGTGCGAAGTAAGACCGTAAGCATGAGCAGGTGGTGCAGTCAGTTTATGCTGATGAGACACTCCGAGAGGAAGTAGTTACTGTCTGTATTCAGAGATAAAAGTCTCAGGAAAGTTGTCTCTCGGGTTTATTTCTTGGTCTTAACCGACCCAGTAGAAGTTGAGTTTGCTTTGTCAGGAATTGGACTGAGAAGTGGAGGCTTTTCCCTCAGAGGCCACCAGATGGCTGTTGTGGAACTTGCCCCGTGCAGTCAGAGCTGCTAAATGGTTGTGACCAGACTGAATCCCACCAAGCATAGTGGGGCATGAACGTAATCAGCCCCTGGCATTTTCTCATGTGCTTTTCCGGGAACTCCGCTCTTGGTGTTCAGAAATGCATTCAGCAAACAAACCTACTACCTGCCAGGCTCCACTGACACAAATTACAGCTCCTGATCTAGTTAAGTGTGGTACCATTGCCATAACCTGCCACGTGACTTCTGACGCTGGAGGTGAGGCCGTGTAGCCTGTACTGACGGTCTGTGTGCCTCGTTTGCTGCTGTGGGGGAATCTCAGGGTCTCGGAGATTGCAACAGAGCTCCCTCCTCCCTGTGAGGCTGCTCTGACTCCCTGCCCTTCGAGGCTCGGTGGGGGATGTGCCAGGAGATGTCTGAAACCACAAAGCTAAAACATGGTTTCTATTCCCAGAACACGCATTTTGCATGAAGTCCTTTTTTTGGGGGGGCAGGGGGGCACACGCACCCAAGAGGGGCAGAAGGAGAATCTTAAACGCACTCCATGCTCGGTGTGGAGCCTGACACGGGGCTGGATTCCACGACCCTGGGATCATGAACTGAGCCGAAACCAAGAGTTGGATTCTCAACCGACTGAGCCTCCCAGGTCCCCCTTCTTGAAGCGTTTATTGGGAAAATTAGTTGATTTTAATGTTCTATAGTTT